CCTCAAAATCAGTTTTACTGCAGTTTGAAATATGTCATTTAAAATGTCCAGCTAACAATGCACAATCTTCTATATTTTGTAAAGATTTTCGGACATTACCAACCATAAGTATTTACTGTTTCTCATAAATAACATACGCAATACAGAGTCACATTTCTGTTCTAAAGGCGTGAGGGGCTTGAACGTAATCCGAAAATGGTTTTTTACCGTATATTCTATTATAAGTACAAAGGTAAATGGAAATTATTCTTGTTTCAGCTAATGCTATGGTCTCGTCCGGCAAGACAGGTTTCAAAGTTTTACCCTAAAAATCGTGGAAACTTGTTCAACGTCATGGTCAATGTCAGAGATTGTCGTCCTTGTTCTACTTATCCACTTTGAGAAGTTTACTTTGAAAGCCCCACTGCTATCAATATACAGGGTGTCCGTAAAGTATGTATACATTGTTTGATCGTAAATATCTCTCTTCCCAAGAAGTCTTTTGCCTTGCTTCAGGCACCGTTTTAGAGTGGTGACCCATCTCTCTCCATTACTGTAGGATTACAGTACAAACTTCGAAGAGGGTTTTGAGCCATGAAAGGCTATATTTTGCCTCACAGAGGAAACAAAACAGCCTGAAAGCTTTTACACTAGGCTAATTAGAGTTGTTGATTCTAACCGTAAAGTTCACAACTTATTATGATGCTTCACTGAAAAGTTATGCTGGGTAAGAGGTAGCGGCCATTTTTTCAATGTTTCTAAAAAGTGCGGTTACACCGTTTAGAAAGCTTCGCAATCTTGTGAACAGTTAAGTATTGAACTCAGCGTCCATAAAAACCCTATTACACAAGTTTTCATTTTTTTGAAAATTTTTGAGACAACAGCTTTTTCCACATTGACACCATAATTTTCAAGTTTCTACCGTAATCCTACAGTAATGAAGAGCGATCGGTGATTCGCTCCATACTGTAAATCTAAGTTGAAGCCAGCTCTTTAAAGTGGTACTTGAAGCAAGGCAAAAGACTTGTTGGGGAAAAAGATATTAACGATCAAACAGTGTATACACACTTTACGGACACCCTGTATTCTGAAGAACGCAGTTTCGTGCGTTGGGTGCAGTGTTGTGCAAGACAACAAATTTGAAAAAAGACCGAGCAAGCGACGATCGGCTGAATTTTTGACGACGAAGCTTGAATGATGATCTTTTACGGCAGCATTCACAGCATTTGAAGATTGCCATGATAGAAAACGAGCCCGCTGCATTCAGAAGAAATCTATGCTCTCCCGATCAATACTTAGTTTGCAGGAAGGCCCTAGGATTAGGACATCTGCATTGGTCCAGTCCTTCAATGTGGCTCCTGAATGGAGAAAATGAAGGTGGAATTCGCGAACGTGCTATCAAGCCACGCCCTCCTTATCAAGCTCCGCCCACCATGGTACTGTGTCGGCGCCTTCAGGATGGTGCTTCGAAATCGGGTTTTTGAAGGGTCTGCATATTTAGCACTCCATATTTGCAACCAGGGCCGCCGAAAGGCCCTAGAATGACAAAAACATGGAAGACAAAGATTTGGGTGAATGCTACCTCTGACTTTTTTCGTGCGTAGATAGACTTTCACCAATAATTGAATTTGTTCAGCTCGGTGAAGAAGAAAGTCGTTTTCAATCAGAATACAGTTGTGACAGTGGAATGTGAAAAATTTCGGCGAGTTCGCCGAATTCGCCGAGTTCGCCAAATTCGCCGAATTCGCCAAATTCGCCGATGTCGCCGATGTCGCCGACTTTGCGTCTTTTCGTCATAACTCCCTTCGTTTTCAATGGATTTCAAATTTGAAGGCAGATTTGAATTTAGCTCGCCGAGACGAATCTTTTCATATATTAAACTGCTGTAATCGGCCCGGTCACGGTAAGTGCATGGTAGGAATCCGTTGCATCCTGTGGTGATGTTTTCTAGAGTGTGTATTTCGGCGCATAATGTAGGCAAAGGTTTAAGAAAAAGAGCGTTTGATGGAAGACTTTCTGCTGAGTGTTTCCAGCAGAAAACCATATCCTTTTTTGTAGTGGAAAAAAGAGAAAGGAGTACGAGAACTTAGTAAATATACGTGAACCACTTACCGTCAAACAAACATAACTATACAGTAACGCTATGATTAGCAAAACAATTATAGTCTCTGTGATCAGCATGTCTTGTTGCTTATGTAAGCAGAGTGACACGCCGCATGACTGTGATATTCTGCTTCCAGCAAAACTTAACTTTTGTCTGCAGACGCCTCTTTGCAACGCTGTGGGCCAGCCCCTATCACACTTAAAAGATTCCGGTGAGGCGAATCGGAAAGAGTTGTTCCCGTAGATAATCCGGCGGTGAAAAGTAGACGGAGACATGCTTTATAAAGCGCGAAAAGAGATGGTGAATTCTGCAAAAATCACGCGCTTTTAAATTCTACTCGCCGTAACTTCCTTCGGAATAAGTATATTCTGAATCCGAAAACGGGGCTGTGCTCAGCTCATCAAGGCGAATCTTTTGGCATACAGCATGTCCTTGATATCTCGATTTCAGTATTCTTTAACTTTCCTGCGGACGTCTCTTCGCGAAGGTGTAAAGCAGCGAGCATTGTCCCCAGTAGATATCAGCAAAGACCATTTGAAAGTACTTTTTCTGCAGATTATGATGCGCTAAACAGTAGCCGCAATTTTCTTTTCAAAGGAAATAGATGGGCTGGTGAATTGTGGAAAAATCTTGTCGTCCCAAATTCTACTCGCCATAGCCATAGAATATGATGCTATCTTGCTAAGCAGATGTGATTATCGTAATCAGCAGGTCGGATAACCTCTACGAGCAAGTTTTCCGAGATATCCGGGTTATTTCATTTTTTCTCGTTTTACGCCCTGGAAGCTCCCTGATGGATTTTGGTCAAAATGTTGATGCTCTTGAATTGTAAGGAAACTTCGCTTATAGAGGTTTTCGAACACGCTCTTTACGAAAATCGTGGTCTCTGAGGATTACAGTGTCTTTTTGGAGAGGTACGGTGAGGTAACTGTAACTGCACCACGAAAGTGCGTAACTTTGACTGCACTCCTCGCGTATCTCTCAGAAACCTTGCTTGCTTTCTTTCCTAAGTCAAAGTGACTAGGAACTGAGCTGTCGAATGGTGCATGAATCGGGCTCCAGTCTATAAAATTCGCCGAGTTACAAGCCTACGAAAACATGTCCTCATGAAATTTGCACAAAATGTAAAGATCGCGTACTTTGTTGAAATTCCATCGTGAGTGGTTGCATGACTAATTGCAAATGTCATGTTCACCCCGCCCGCGTTTTATGCAACCACTCACGATGGAATTTCAACAAAGTACGCGATCTTTACATTTTGTGCAAATTTCATGAGGACATGTTTTCGTAGGCTTGTAACTCGGCGAATTTTATAGACTGGAGCCCGATTCATGCACCATTCGACAGCTCAGTTCCTAGTCACTTTGACTTAGGAAAGAAAGCAAGCAAGGTTTCTGAGAGATACGCGAGGAGTGCAGTCAAAGTTACGCACTTTCGTGGTGCAGTTACAGTTACCTCACCGTACCTCTCCAAAAAGACACTGTAATCCTCAGAGACCACGATTTTCGTAAAGAGCGTGTTCGAAAACCTCTATAAGCGAAGTTTCCTTACAATTCAAGAGCATCAACATTTTGACCAAAATCCATCAGGGAGCTTCCAGGGCGTAAAACGAGAAAAAATGAAATAACCCGGATATCTCGGAAAACTTGCTCGTAGAGGTTATCCGACCTGCTGATTACGATAATCACATCTGCTTAGCAAGATAGCATCATATTCTATGGCTATGGCGAGTAGAATTTGGGACGACAAGATTTTTCCACAATTCACCAGCCCATCTATTTCCTTTGAAAAGAAAATTGCGGCTACTGTTTAGCGCATCATAATCTGCAGAAAAAGTACTTTCAAATGGTCTTTGCTGATATCTACTGGGGACAATGCTCGCTGCTTTACACCTTCGCGAAGAGACGTCCGCAGGAAAGTTAAAGAATACTGAAATCGAGATATCAAGGACATGCTGTATGCCAAAAGATTCGCCTTGATGAGCTGAGCACAGCCCCGTTTTCGGATTCAGAATATACTTATTCCGAAGGAAGTTACGGCGAGTAGAATTTAAAAGCGCGTGATTTTTGCAGAATTCACCATCTCTTTTCGCGCTTTATAAAGCATGTCTCCGTCTACTTTTCACCGCCGGATTATCTACGGGAACAACTCTTTCCGATTCGCCTCACCGGAATCTTTTAAGTGTGATAGGGGCTGGCCCACAGCGTTGCAAAGAGGCGTCTGCAGACAAAAGTTAAGTTTTGCTGGAAGCAGAATATCACAGTCATGCGGCGTGTCACTCTGCTTACATAAGCAACAAGACATGCTGATCACAGAGACTATAATTGTTTTGCTAATCATAGCGTTACTGTATAGTTATGTTTGTTTGACGGTAAGTGGTTCACGTATATTTACTAAGTTCTCGTACTCCTTTCTCTTTTTTCCACTACAAAAAAGGATATGGTTTTCTGCTGGAAACACTCAGCAGAAAGTCTTCCATCAAACGCTCTTTTTCTTAAACCTTTGCCTACATTATGCGCCGAAATACACACTCTAGAAAACATCACCACAGGATGCAACGGATTCCTACCATGCACTTACCGTGACCGGGCCGATTACAGCAGTTTAATATATGAAAAGATTCGTCTCGGCGAGCTAAATTCAAATCTGCCTTCAAATTTGAAATCCATTGAAAACGAAGGGAGTTATGACGAAAAGACGCAAAGTCGGCGACATCGGCGACATCGGCGAATTTGGCGAATTCGGCGAATTTGGCGAACTCGGCGAATTCGGCGAACTCGCCGAAATTTTTCACATTCCACTGTCACAACTGTAGAGGCAATTTGTTGATATTTAATAGACATTTTCATTTGGAATATATGTTATTTATTCATAAAGCGTCCTATCGCCTCCATCTCGGCTTTGGCAAAAAAAATATTCATTTTGGTTCCTTGGAAACAATGCGATTGTAGATGAACGCAGCCCGACTAGCATCTTGAAAGTGAGGTTTTGTCACTGTTGTTGGCCTTTCCACAGGAGGAGCGCTGTCATTGTTTTTGTCGTTTTTGTTCTGTTTCTGAAATCAAATTTCTGTTGGACTAGGAGAAAAGACTGGAAAGACAAAGTTACCTTATTGTGGAGATCATTGATTCGTCGATTGTACATCCAGCCGTTACCATTATTTTTGGTCGGATTCTGTAAAAGAATCAGAATCGTAAAAAAGTATTATTAGGGACAAATTACCTCGTTGTCTAGATCGTTGATTCGTCGATTATACATCCATGGCTGTAGCTCTAAAAAAACAGGGGTTGATAAATGTACAAATGCGCTAGGAAACAGTAAAATAAATAAGAAAACAGATGGTAGTTGCTAAAAAAGGACTTTTTTATAAAGTCAGTGTCTTGGCACAATTCCCTTCTCCATTCACCTTTCAGAGCCTTCTCACCATGAGGATTCCATATCTGGGCTTTTCAGCGCATGATAACGGCAAGAATAAGCTTTAAGAAGCCGCGCCCCGCCTCCCTGGTTCCGGGCACCGCCTCCCTAGTTCCGGACCCCGCCCACTTCTCCACTGAATGAAGACCTGAAACGCTTCGGAAAAACTCATTTTCGCCATTTTCATGCGCTGAAAAGCTAAGATATGGGTTGCTTATGGCGAGAAGGCTTCGAAAAGGTGAAAATCTGGAAAACAAAATTCTGCCGAGACACTGCCCATGACGTATAATCGCTGACAACTCCCTTGTCTGGGTAGCTTTCGTGGATTTTTACATATAAGATTGTGATCCTGGCCTTAAAGTAGATCTACACTTTAACTACGTCATTGCAAATCAGCTACCAGTTCAGAAAAGTTTTAGAGCCTCTGAACTGTGGTGACCTTTTAAGCTGTTGATCCCGGTAATTTTATGTTTGTAGAACAGCTTAGGCGAGATAATTAGACTTTTGATGGTTGCTGAGAAAGCTGCTGTGAAGGTTTTCCTGCTGTAACTTTGACCTAGAGGTGGTGAAGCGTGAAGCTCACATTTGAAGTCCAATGTTAAAGGCAGCGTCCGGGCAAAAACTCGATTTTTAGATTTTGTGCTTACCCGGGCTATTCACTATGCTGAATCCGAAAATTCACATTAGAAGGCGCGAAAACGGCGAAAAAGGGCTCTAACACAGGAAGGAAATCACAAGTGGGCGGGGTCTTCCCCACTGCGCATTCACGCTCCAAGCTTCCAGAGCGATCTTCTCGGTCCCGATTTCAAGCCATGCATTTGCACCTGGCCTGTGGAGATCTAAGGTCGGTAGCGGAATTGAGAAAATCGCTTCAGAAGATGGGACCGCAAAATTCACAGTGGGGAAGACCCCGCCCATTTCTGATTTCCCTCCTGCGAGCCTTTTTTGCCGTTTTCGCGCTTTCCAATGTGGATTTTCGAAGTCAGCAAGGCGAATAGGCCCAGGTAAGCACAAAATCTCAAAATCGAGTTTTTGCCCGGACACTGCCTTTAAATAACTCGGTAACAAAGTTTTCACCTCTTACAGACAATTTCTTGAAGGATATATGCCCTCACTTGTGCAAAGTTGGTTGAATTTTAATACCGTAATTACACTGATGAAAAGCAATCGATGATCCGTTCTTTACCGTAAACTAATTTGAAGACAGCGTACAATATAGCTGAAAATCGTAAAAGCTATTCAGGCAAAAAGCTGTTAGCAATCAAATGTTCGATGAAGTGTTTTGAGCACACTTCAGATATTTTTCCCATATAAAGAGATAAATTTTGAGCACATCGGAATTTTGAGACTCTTCTGTTTCTCAATTTATCTCCTTGAGACTTTTCTTAACTTTCAACTTTGCTCATGGCTCACCTGGTTCAGCACTTGTTACGGGCGTAGGATTGAAATATTGATTTTGTTGAAAAATACGAATTTCTTCAAGGATGTCGTTGTCGTCCATAGCTGGAAAAGTTCTCATAAAATCAGAAGTTCAGAAAATCCAAAAAAATCAAATGTGAAAATTCACAAATTTGAATGTGCCATTTTTTTCCAAATCCTCAAGTGGGTAATATACCCCACCTCCATAGCTGGTCGGATGATGCTCTCTTGGTTCTTCGTCAACAGGGACTGAAAATGATTTTCAAAATTCGGCTTTTTCCCTGATAAAAGCTACGAATAACTTACTCACCAGCATTTATTTCCTGCCCACGTTGCAAAGCTTCAATAAGAGCTTCCAAATCCAGATCCCCGTTTCCCATGCCATTTTCGCGTAATTCTCGTTCTTTGCGTAAACGTTCTTTTAAACGTTTTATCTGAAATATATTCAACCGCTTGGGATTTTTTCTGACAAAGCAAGAAGTTCAACATATAGATTTTTACTAGGGAACAATGCTTACTTTGCGAAAAAAAAAGAAGGATCCCGTATGGGAATCTTTTTGTTTTCCTCAAAAAAGGAGGACAAGGCGACTTTCAAGAAATCAATCCACTCAAATTAGAAAGAGTAGAGGCAAAAAGTTTTTATCATCAAATGATAAACAACTTTTCCAAAATAAATGAGCCAGCGAAAGCCGTTACCATATAAGATTATCCTTACCTGCTCCGTTCTTCTTGCTTTGCTTTCTTTGTCGAGTTCCTCTTCCTTTTTAGAATCGGCCCATTTGTTAAAACTGAAGGTGTTGAACACATTGGCCATTTAGGGAACCTCGCACAACGGCTGAATTTTTATGTTTAGAAGTACATATTTCGGATAAAAAAATATGAATCCTTATGTTGTCAAAAGAAAATAATTTGAAGTCGACTTCTGTAGAGAAGCTAGGAATAAGTATCTATTTCATAGGCTTTATAATTTCTTGAAACAATTTACGCACTTCCATGATTCTCTTGATTCAAGATTCAAGACTATGTGGGAATATTTTTACTAATTGCTTCACACATATTAACATCAATTGCTAGCCACCAACGGCAGTTCGGAAATTTTTTTGGGTGCTAAGGGGGGGGGGGGCGGTCAGAGACAACAGATGCCTCAAAAACTCAGGCCGTTTGGCAAAAAATATGAAAGTTATTCCAATTATTTATGTGTGAAAGGAAGTCGCCTGTTCAATTTTATAACTCATATAGGCTAAGTAAGAATTCGAGGCCCATTTTCGGGGCAAAGGGGAACCAGCTCTTATACACTGAACTGTTATAATAGAGAGGTGGATAACTCAGGTGGAACCCAGCGATAGGAAGGAAACTCTTCGAATTTTCTATGAATTACCTCCTTCGGGTTGCTATGCCATTTTTGTAAATATTCTAGCGTCTCTGGGGTCTCACACTGCGCGCGCGAAATCACATTCCGAAGAAGCATCATCTTAGAAAATCCTGAAAAGATATGTAGCCTTTGAGCTCTTTTACGCAGTAGATAGTGGTTGTCAATTCAAGAAGGTGAAAAAGTGCATGGTTGGCACTTTTGAAAACATGGTAATTTGATGATAATTTGAGGTTAATTACTTATGCAAGTCTTGAAACCCAACAGAAGTCGAAATAACATTTCTTTGCAGAAGTAACTACTAGACTAGAATACTTGGGCTCATATTGCCCGTTAGGGTAGAATCAAATAGCCTACTATACCAATGAAGGACATAACAACAAGCTACGTTTCTATTTTCATACTTCCATTGCCTTCGCGGACAGCAAAATAGCATTGTGAACAAATGTACAGGAAATCGAGATCTGAGGAAACTGCAGTATTTTGAAATTAAATAGTTAATTCGAACACACCATGACAGATCTTCTCACGATGGACTTTTCCAAGGATGTTATCTATCTGTTATCTCTTACAGCTTTATCAAGAAATCTCTCTCAGTAGTTCATTCTGAATTTTTCAACCATGCTATCAATTTCATTCTTTCAATGTGTATCTTTGTTATAAACTTTATCGCGTGATACTCCTATATTATAAAGTCACGTGCATCTTGTCACCATCGCTATAAGTTCTATTGAGCAATATCTATGCTTCGACGCGTCTTTCTTTTCTGTGGAGAGTTTTTAGTTCTCAAAAATTGATAGAAACTAAGCTCATTTACCAGTTCAACGCTTATGTGGTAGCGGTAGAAACCGCAATCCAAATAATACTTTTGCTTGGCATTTCATAATGTACTGCCAAGCTGTCCCTTATCAATATTAAAACATCAACCAGTTCTCAGTGTTTCTCATGCTAACAGTAGCACCAAGTCCATCAATGTCTTGACTGTACAATGGAGCATAGTAATGATAACTCTTTGTTACTCGTTCGCTTCTTACTATGTTGCTAACGACATCAACAATAAGAAAGCCGTTAATTGGTGGTTGTTGGTGTATAGTTGGTTGGTTTCATTAAGTGTGTGACCGCAATATCTCGTCGCAGAACGAAAACGGTGAACTTCCAACAAATCTTTGAACGTTGAGCTAGATGTCGTCACTGGACGTGTCGTTGTGATCCGAACTGCCAAGGTATTTTTTCCTGTTTGATCTGCCCCCACCAGATTGCGAGTTGTCATTGGTATCATAATAGCAAAAGGCATTTAAGATCAACTATTTTTTTATTTTGTTTGTTTTTCAAATATACTCGAGGTGCATCAAAAAGGAAAGAAGATCAAGAAAGTTCAAACAACGAGATTAGCCATTCTTCAGCCTCGCTTCAAAAAAGAAAATTAGGGAAGGATGGCAAGACACGAAGCTGCAGACCTATCTAGCAAAGTAAGAGCTCTTTGTCCAAAAATTCTGAAGAATTAGTGGAAGTTCAAAAATTCACCCAGAAATGCGTGTTAGGTGAGAATTTTTGCGCGAGCTATGTATTCATAGGTGATGACTGCACCACAGTGATACATCAAAGTGGGATTGTTTCGGCAGGTACTTTACTTGCCATTTGTGGTGATTTTATTTCAGCATGACTTATGCGATTGTGCCAAGTAATAGTGAACAATTCTGCACCAGCGTTTGTTTGGAAAAGTGCAATTTTTCCAATTTTTTGCATTTTAACAACTTTTTACACACCTCCTGCTCGGCCCTGGTCACTGTATGAGCTGATATGAGGTCCTTCATTTCAATACTTTAATGGTTTCTGAAGTTTCCAAGCAGTCATTTTTGCAGCCCAGTAGAACTAGAAAAGTGCCAAAAACAAGAATAAGAGTTCCCAGAATCCCTTTTTCAATCAAAATTTCAACCTTATTACAAATCTACAAAAGCTTGTAACCGCATACCTCTGGTTAGGAGTCTCGAAAGTCACCGCTGTAGAAGAAAAAGAAAAATCAGTCATCCATATCCACATGGAGCTCCGCAAAATACAGGGTGTCCCAGAAAAAAGTGCCTGATATTTGACTGTTAATAACTATCTTGTCATGAAGTTTCTGGAGAAGCTCTATGGACCATTGTAGAGCTGACGTCAACTTAGATTTAGTGCATAGAGCAGATCACCTCTCTCTTCATTACTGTGGGATTACGGTAGACACATATACGTCACTGTGAAAAAGCTGCCATTTCATGTAATTTAAAAGATATGGAAAATCTGTGTGATATGTTTCTCATGGACGTCGAGTTCGATGCTCAATTTTGTACTAAACTGTGAAGCTTTCTAACTGTAACCACTTTTTTACTAACATCGAAAAAATGGCTAATAATGCTTACCTTTCATGACTTTTTAATGGAGCTTTTTCAGAGCAACTTCATTGTCTAGTGAGAGAAGTCAAGGCATGATTCTCAGAATCCTCGAAATTCCTATCGTAATTTTACAGCTATGAAGAGAATTGGGTGCTTTGCCATTTACGGTAAGTCTAAGTTGCAGCTGGCTTTACAGAACGGTTCCTGAAGGTTTTTTAAAAACTTTATGACAAAAGAGTTATCAACAATCAAACAGTGCGCATTTTGGGACATCTTGTTTATCCGGAATCAATATAGCCGTGCAAGGTCAACCGATGTTTTTGTACGAGTTTGCAACCCACAGATCATTTCCGCCATTCAATGTGTTTTCACGTCCGTATATGCAATTAGAGCGTCCCAATCCCTCGGATTACACCCGTTATCGAAACGCATTCAAGTTTATCCCATTTTTCGCTATATTTTGTTCCATTCGACTATTCTCAGTTTCATTTTTTCATTATTATCGTATGCAAATCACGCTGATTGTAAAGCATCAAGCTTGCAAACTGTAGACGGCATCTGTGTGTAGTTATTGTGTAGATTATTACACTGACATAACCGGTCTGATCTAAAATTGCCTTCAATTTGGGCTACATAAATCGATAGAAGAAACAGAAAGAAACAGAAAGAAACATTATTGATAAACAGATTATGAACTTATTATGAGAAACGCCGAATAAGTAATATTCTCTTCTTATTTTTATCAGTCAGGAGATCACTTCTAACAATAAGTTTCTTCAAGCACATTCTGGCTTGGTTGTACTTAGCTGGTAATGTGTGTATAATATGACTAGATTTTGTTTCTGGCACTTCATATACCAAAAAAAAAAATTCAGCCTATCCACACATCTTAGATTTCATCTCATATTTTTGTTATTTGCAGTAAGAAAAGAGGAACAGAGGATATTTCTTTCTGGGCGCTAAAAATGCAGAAAATTTCGATGGGATCTATATAATTTCAATTCTGTGTTTTATTAACTACCCTTTCCAGGAAAATTACTAGGAAGAGGAAAGTTCATGATGATATGGCGTTGTTGATATTAGATGTAATTGCTGGATTTCCCTGTTTTTCTTGGTTCCTTTGAAAAAAGCAGCTCTGATTTACGTACGATATGGAAAAGGTTTTTTGTGCTTTTGCAAACCAATCCCTCAGAATTTTACAACGCCGGACTAATATTCTAAGCTGAGAGCTGAAGAACTTTTAAGAAATAATTGAAGAATTAGTTGAAACTACAGAAAAAAATTTTTACATGTGCCTTTCGCATTGTAATGAAAGACTATAATTAAAACGTACGGTTTATCTGTCTTGTGGTTCTATGACATTTGAACTATAATAAACTAATAATTCTGAATTTTTGGCGCAAAATGACACAGCTTGCACCTTAGAAGTAAGGGATATAATTATACTAGTACTATATTGAAGTGGTTTGTAAATCAAAGTGTTGTAATTGCTAATGGTCAGAAGAACCAACTGTACAATTTATCATATCAAGCACAAAGTGGTTGAATCATTTTCGAAATCATGCCAGGCCTCGAGTAAGTTAAAAAAAACTTTATTTTTTACAACAGTGTGATATTATTCCACTGCTTTGTTAATTCAGACGCATTTCTAAAACATCCAATTGGACATCCATTTATTCGTCTTATCGCCGTAACTTTGATCTTTTAAAATCCCCTTCTTGAATGTGACGCACAAACTTTTTCATAACCTTCCATGAACTCAATAAGACAAGAAAATTTCGCATAAGGTCCTATAGATTCCTCTCAAGATATCCGCCTCTTGCTTTGGGTAAGAGCATTTAGTCTCTTTGGAGAATTTTCCCGATGCGGGCAATCGTTTTTGGCGAAATTTCGTCTCAGACTCTTGTTAGTCTCTTTTTGGCAAATCCGGTAATCACCTGGGTTTGGAAGAGTGGGCTTTTTGCTCGCAGAAAGAAAATTGATGGGATCAAGAGTGGGCGAATTGGAAGGCGAAACACTGTTTGTTAAAAATGTGGACTCACATAAACTTTGACGGGCTGTCAAAAATCCGTTTTTTGCTCTATCTATTTCATGCCGATGATAATCGTCTTCTCCACACTCTCTTGTCCCATTATGGTCTTTGATCCTTTCGTAGTTCGTGATTGAAGATTTTGAAAAAAAAAACAAGCAAACTATGAAGGGCTGTGTTACCTTTTTGAGCTGAAACAAACATTGGGACGCTGGTTGGAATCTTATGGCATGACTAGGCAACAATTCATATCGAAAAGAAAGTTTGCAGTTGTATGAAATTCATCTTTGGGACATGAGAAAAAATAATGTTTGGTCTTCTAACTCGCCCAATCTTAATTCCACAAACACTTTTTTCCATCTACCCAAAAGAATAAAGCCTGTCTTTGAAATCCATTTCACTAGATTTTTCAAGAAGAGTTTGAGAATTTGGCACTAAAAACTTTTGGAAAGGATTTGGAAGAAAATAAATGCTTTTACCAAAGCCAGAGGCGAATATCTCAAGATCAATCTTGGGTACTTTATACAGAATTTTCTTCTCTCAGATGAATACCGAAGTTTTTCATTTCATTCAGTCCTTGCAAAGTTATGAATTTTTATTTTGCGTCACACTTTATGTGGACCACCCGTCAATTTGAGCACTTTGAAGCAGGAATATACTAGAAATTCTTGCCGACAAATTCTCTCCAAAAGGGATTTTACCAAAAACAAACTTTTGCACCCTTTTTAATTTTATTTTTCTGCTTACCTTTACCTGTTTTAGAGCATTTGTAGGTTCGAGAAAATTGCATGATCGCGAGCCGACAGAGCTTTTCAGCCTGATTTGATTGTGCTGGGCCAAGTAAAAGAGCAAAACAATGAATAGAAAAAATAGTATTCTTGTAAACAAAGAAGCAGTTTATCGTGCAGTTAGGTGGAGATCCCACAGTACTTGGCAGTAATAGTTACTGATAGCCTTCGAGGCAGCACCATCTGTAGAATATTTTCCTCAATTAATAGTAGTTAACTTGATTAATGTATTTTAGTTCAAAATTATCTTATCTCCGCACTTTCCCATTCAAAATAGATGATTAATCTGATTTGCACAGCAAGTTTGGAGTAGAATGGAACCACCATTCAATGGTTGTTGAAATACCCAAAAAGGAGGAATTCATGATTCAATGTTAATGTGAAGATATACAGTTTCTATTGTAATCCTCATAAATAAACATAATGAAAGCACGCTCGCCAAAAAACATTACCGTTTGCTTCAAAAATTTGCCATTCAAAATCCACAATGTTTGCGTCCTATTTTCAGCACGTGTTTCGTCGTCTTCAAAAGCAGAGTTCATAAATTTCTGGCGGCGATAAGAATATTGGGCTGATGACGCGTTGACCTTGAGAACTCTGGCTGAACTATGGCAACACGACTGAATATCAACCGATTTCACTGGTTTTGCTTCTTCTTATGGCAATTCGCATTGTTCTATTGCTGTCAACAGATATTTCCGGTAATTGAGCTTTTTCTTTCTTAAGAAAAGTTGAAAAATTATTTTTTTTGATGAGTTCTCGGAGATCAAAATCACTTCTTTAAGTTTGAAATCAAAATTGCGAGAGAGCTGGAGATGAATTGCAGTGACACATGCAATTTTCGAATACAAGAAAACGTTCTGGAACATGTCCATAAGTGACTATGAGATATAGATGCAATGCGCATGCGTCTAGTGCGGCGGCGCGGTTCCGATGCCTTTAAGTCGCGACCAGGAAACACAGACGAAACGCGCTATCTCAGCTGTCCCTACATTTTCTGCGTCGATAATTCCATTGCTGTCATATATGTAACCTCCTATGTCGCGGTGGGGTCCCCAGCTCCAGACGTCAGTGGTAAATGCTCTCCTGCATCGGCGAGGGGAGCTGAAACTCCATCCATGAGATGAAGTACCGGCACGCGGTTAAGGGTAGCTAGCTTGCGCCTATCTAGAATCGTGCCTGTCCTCCTTGCAGATGGAATCCTACTGTACATGAAGTACACAATAAACACATTAGCCACATTAGCATACCGATATTACTGGGGTTAAGACTTAAGCCCATAGCCCATCATTTAGTCAATATATGACGACTCTTGAGAGCCCATCATTTATCCAGATCTTCAACACACACAAACAACTCAATACAGGGTGTCCCAAAAGTCCTTAAGCCTAATTTTTCAACGTAGTAACTTTGTTAGTATTCCTCGCTTTTCAGCCAAATTTTGCCTTTGAGTTCTTCGTCTAGTTGCCAATATTCGTCAAGAAAATCATACCGTTTACAGTGTACATTCTCGAGATATACTTCTTGAAGCGAACAATACTACAACCGTGAAGACAAGCCGAAGGAAACGCACCTTCTATTCAAATATCTACAGCTCTTTTGCCTTTGGAGCTCTTATGGACTTTTAAACTGCATATTGTAGAGCTAGCTTCACTCTACATTTACAGTGCAAAATCAATCGATAGCCTTCGTTCATTAGAGTAGGATTAGGATACAAACACTGAAGTTGTGCCGTGCCAATGAGAAGGAAAAGTTCTCGGAAACAAAAACCTGGAAAAGCTGGAAAGTCCAGCACCGAATCAGCTTCAGTCACTAATTCTAGCTGTAAGCTTTGCATTTCCTACTGAAATACCACTTTAAATTTCCTCCCGGTAACCATAATGGCTGTTTTCTTGGTGTTCTCAAACACTTGAATGCTACATTTTGACACTTTTGTCAAATCTAACAGTTATGCTTCTCAGATTTACGTGCCTTCAATAGCCGGGTCAAGAGGCTCTTGACTTTTCTTTGTGATCAGTAATGGAAAACAAGGTTTGCTCTATTCCATGCTAAATTTTTGACAGTCTGGATTGCTTGCTTCAAAAGATGTGAGACAATCTCGATGTCAACTACCTGGCTGCCATGGTGCATGCATTCCGCAAGTGTCTGAGAGCCTGTGTAAAGGCCAAAGGAGGGTTTTGAGAAATCTGAGTGTATCATGTTGTTTTGTAGGCTCTTCGCAAATTCCCTGCTGAACTTCATGCTTCTATGTTGCTTCATGCATTTTCAGCGGAGGAAATACTAGGCTCAAAGACTTTTGGGACACCCTGTACAATGAGCTGAGGATACGCCGGCCAAGATGTTACCTAAGGGCCGGTAGAAAGAAAACCACCCGGGGTGCTCCCTTGCCGTATGGCAAGCAAGAAGCACACAACCGGGTTACCTCGAGGTGACGAGCCCGTCCTACTTGCGTGGTGAACGTCTTCGCGTGAGTTGAGGAAACGGCGCTGCTTGATCGATTGATAGGGACTGAGTTGAAGCCGAAGGCTCGCAAGTAGACACATGTGACGTGCGTGACTTTATGAAGGTAATCTGCGACGTAAGTAACGAGCAAGAGGGCGGGGCAGCGCGCGAGGACTGGCTTGGGACCCCCTGCGCGGTGGCGGCGAACCACCTTGAAGAAGTCGCGCTACACTCTATTTTTAATAATAATATCTTTGATATTCAGATATTCTACAACTACACGCCACGGCGCGAATGCGCTGACTTTGGTCGCAACTCAACTGCGGCTCAATGTGATCTAACCCAAGAGCAGCTATGTAACGAACTAAAAAATTGCACTAATATCACGGTCGAGGACGCACCGTTCCATTCCATGGTTGAAGAATATGACCTCTATTGCGACGAAGCTTATGATGCAACTTTGGTAAGAGCAGCTAAATTTGCCTAGAAAAAACGTCTCAAGCCGTTTCCAGGCTGCTACCATTCAATTCTTAGGAGTACTTCTTGGCGCGCTGATTTATGGTCATCTTGGTGATCGTTTTGGACGACGACCGGTCTCATTCTGTGGAATTGCTATTGGAATTGTTGCTGGAGTGAGCACAGGCGAGTATTGGGTCAATGTAGTGCTCGTGCTGTAATATTGAAAAAAATTGTCGTGCTTTCGATATTACGAGACAAAAATGACTTTAGACATCTACGCGTAAAAAAAAGACTATACAGCGCATAATTTCGAGTTTTGCGAGCCGTATGCAATTTTCCCGCGCAAGTGTTGTCGCCAGCGCAGAGGCACTATTTCACCAACAGATGCTTTGAAAGTGTGAATGAAACCTCCTTTACAGGTTTTTCACCATCCTGGGAAGTATTCGCTGGGTTGCGCTTTGTGTGTGGTACTAGCATTGCATGCATTCTTGTGGTTTTCTACACATACATAGTAGAGCTTATTCGGCCGGAACAACGAGTCTTTATGAGGGCGTTTTTCAACTGGGTAAATTTTATATACATTTATTTCCATGTCGTTCATGAAAGCGTGAGTATTTTGAAATCATAAGTGCGGAAAGGTAAAAGGTGCGATTCCCTACAGTCTGTCCCAGTCGGGCGAACCGTTGGCTTGAATCCGCGCGCCCGCAGCGCTAAGAGTTCGCGGTGCACATGCGCGCTGTCGGAGACAGTGGAGAGATTGAAGACGGAGCAGACAAGCTAGGGGAAGGTATCACGCGAAACTCTTGCGACACGGACTTCCACTTGCCAATTTTGGCATGATCAAAAATCTCGCCATGGTGTTGATATTGCACTGTGTGGTTCTGAGCCTTGGCCAGAGATCGCTAGCACTGCACTCACCTTTTGAAAACGTGGATACTAATACCAGAGCGAGCATTGAGTGACTGAACCCATATGCCAGAGCTACAGGGTCCGGCAAAGCAGGAACCAGGTTGAGTTATATATCGTTTCTGGAGGGAAAGGGAGGGAGAGAAGCAGGGGGGATATTATTTTCGCGGGGTCCGGGGTGGAGAAAATTAGCTGGAACGGTTCCATCTAAATCAGAAGAAGTTTTACTTTGTTCACATAATTTTTCATACTTTTTCTACACTAATTCTGCCTTCACCCTTGAAGATAACGTACGAGCAAAGAAGGGCTTCATGATCTTTTCTTTTCTTGAAGGCAGTGTCCGGGCAAGAACTCGATTCTGAGATTTTGTGCTTACCGGGCCTATTCGCTATGCTGAATCCGAAAATCCACACTGAAGAGCACGGAAACGGCGAAAAAGGCTTTAACGCAGGGGGAAAGTAGCAGGTAGGCGGGGTCTTCCCCACTGTGAATTCACGCTTCCAGCTTTCAGAGCAATTTTCTCGAATCCGTTAGCCGCCTTGACATTACTACCGATCAAGTGCAAACGAATGACTTGAAACCGGAATCAAAAAGATCGCCTCCGAAGCTGGGAACGTAAATTCACAGCGGGGAAAACCACGCCCACTTGCTGATTTTCCTCTAGTGTTAGAGCCCTTTTTCGTCGTTTTCGCGCTCTCCAATGTGGATTTTCGGATTCAGCATAGCGAATAGGCCCGGATAAGCATAAAATCTCAAAAACGAGTTTTTGCCCGGACACTGCCTTTAATCTTTCTTATAGTTCTAAATTTCATTGGCGGCGCAACCGATCGCAAAGACTCCTGAGCAAACCAAGTTCGATGTTGATTATCTTGTCTTTTTCGGTGTTGTGTCAAGCTTGCCTCGAGGAAGGTCACAGGGGACTTCATAAATTTCTTCTAAACGGGGTTGTTTCGAAGCTCCTTAGTTCCAAGTGGAGTTAAGCCCTGCACGGTTATTCCATGTAAGGAGCTAGCTCACAATGGTGGCTAGGCTTCTTCTTTTCGGTTCCAGGCCTTTTGTTCTAGAGCGAAAATGCCTTTGAACTTCGCAAGCCGATGTCCGTGATCCATGCGCCAAGCTTTTTACGTAAGTGCCTAGTGGATTGCAGGTTCTTGATCTATCTTTGCCGTCTAAGTGCTCTTTTATGGAACGCTAGCGGCCATGCTCTCTTGCGTATGACTCGTCATCGTGTTCGCGCAGGTAATAAGATAGATGACCCTGGTTACTACGCAATCCGCGCCCCTGTCCCCAGGGTAGACAATGCAATGGGGCATAGCGCAGCCGCTAGTAGATAAATGCGCATCAAAATACTCTTGGGATTGCTTAGGAGTGTCCCCACAGCTGTGACTGTCTTTTCTAGGCTGCTCTTCCTCAGACACTAGCCCGTAGTAAAGCTCTGCCAGTTCAGGTGATCTGAACTGAGGGAATCAGTTGAGATTTCGTGAGGTGGAATGAAGAACGCCCCGTTTTATGTTGTAAGAAGCAAAATGAACTGGCAGTTGGCCGTCGAATTGTTGAGGTTGATTAGCTCAAACTCAGGGCTCGGCACGAGTCGGTTTCTTTCAGAAACCCGACTTACGAAGTCTCCCCTGACGTTCGTAAGTTGTTCGAAGTAATCTTTAACCTACTTGCTTAGGAGAAGATGAAAACAAGAAAGATTTACTAGTCTGAAAGAAAAACGTAAGATAAGAGTGAAAATCCAAGTTGGAGCTGAATACTACGCATGCACAAGAGTTTGGCATTGGAGCGCGATATTTACCAAAGCGATTTGTGAAGAAATGAAGGCAAAAAACAAAGGAATGGCAATGATATGAAAACGTCTTCATGCTTAGGGATAGATTTTTGACCGGGGAATCCGTCCATGCTAAAATCCGAAACTTCTGTGAAGTGACGAAAATATATGCTCTAGACGATCTCAGATCGTCTGGAGACGATCTAATTTTGGAAAAGGTATTGCTTCACATAAGTTTTCAAATCTTTTTACATAATACTTTCGCAAATAATTTTCTATACATACAGCTCAATTTTGGTGTCATATGCTTCTGTGTGCGCTGTAAACAAGCAGTTTGTTTTTTCAAGCCTTGCTTTCAAATCGCGCGCACTTTTCGCCATGCACGATAGAACATGTCAATCGTGTGACAACCTGTCCGAAAAGCTTGTTTTCGACTAAATGGCGCTTATTCTTAGGCTCCCGCCAGAGTGCCGAAGTTATGCCAGCGCTACGCCAGCATTTCGATCGATGCACGTGTATTTCGTTGGGGCGGGGCTGGCTGACGTCCCCAACGAAATACACGTGTATCGATTGAAATGCTGGCGTAACGCTGGCATAACTTCGGCACTCTGGCGGGAGCCTTAGCGCTCGACCCCGACTCCGCAAAAACGATATCCCCCTTGCTGTTTGCTTCAAAAACAAATCCAGCCTGCTTCCTACTCATCTGTGCCGGGCCCTGCTCATACACGTAAGTTCACGTTCAGCTGAGACGTCAACTGATTCAAATGATGTGAGAATGATGAGACAAGAAGGAACTTTCCATAAGTTACTCCTGAGTAACTTACAACACGGATCATGTAAGAAATACAGAGTGAAAAGCCAAAGTGCAGGCTGCCAACTCTTAAAAAGATCTAACAAGTGCGGCCAGATCTCTGCCGCCAGTACGGATCACATGGATGTGGAAGCTTGGCGAACTCATTCTGACTTGTATACTTGCATGGACGTGACATTTTCAATAATATCATCATGGATGGTTAAGATTATCAATCAATGCTTAAATGAGGCAAAGCTGAATCGTCGAAGGCCCAACTCTTTTCTGGGTTGAGATCGACTGAGGCAGCTTCACTACGGGCCACTGTCGAAATCAGTGCTTACTGCATCGGAAAACATAGCAGATGCAGGAAGAAGCTGCGCTCATTCCGTCTACCTGAGTGCAACAAATTTCACACCTCCTTGCTGTTCCGACACAATTCTTATACTCATCGAAGGCAGCGATTTTCCGCAAAAACGCAAGTGATTCCGTTAGTGCCTGCTCAAAGACGAAGGGCTATACGGAACATACAAGGTGTCTAAAAAAACGTGTCCACTGATTGATTGATGATAACTTCCTTGTTATAAAGTCTTCAAAGGAACTTTGGGTACCATTTTGTAGAGACGGCATTTGTATTTACATCATGGAGCGAATTACCGATCGTCCCTCGTTACTGTGCATACGGCAGGAACTTTAAAGGCAGTGTCCGGGCAAAAACTTGATTTCTAGGAAATCACTTACCGGGGTTATCCGCAGCGCTGAATCCGAAAATCCACATTAGAAGGCGCAAAAACGGCGAGAACATGCGTTTTCCAAAGCCTTACAATTTGAAATTTGACGGCCCCGCCAGGCAGAGACGCAGAGTCGCTGCGGGACTCTACGATTTTAACTGTTGCGACATGCGTACTCTGCCGCATAGGAGAAACTCGGACAGCTCGGAGGACCCCGCCCCAAGGCGTAAGTTTCCCCACTTTCTAGTCGTTTTTCTTGCTTTGAGTCGAGCGTTATGATGTCGCACTTGCGCGATGTTGTGTCTGAGGTGGGCCACTCTCGCAGGCACTGAAATCCCAAAACCCCCAGCTTGCCCGGATACTGCCTTTAAAGAGGGTTCTAAGCCGTGGAGAGCCATGGTTTGGCTTTGAAATGGAACAAAACGATCTGAAAACTCTCACACTGTGCTAATAGATTACGAAATAGTTGATAGCCTGCAGAGATCTGCATACAGAACCAAATGCTCCTTACTGCCTGCTCTTCTTTGCTCATTTTCGCCTACTTATTGCGCGCTACCTCATCATCCCCCCCCTCTCCCCCCCCCTCTCCCCCCTCCCTCCCCTCCCGCACTCCAGGCTTTGGCTCTAAAACTTCCTTTTCCGCGGTTTCAAATTTAGTCCTGGCAAATCGTAAATGACTTTCTGGCTCTCCACTTAAACAGCGTCGCCTTATTCCATTTTTACTAGGCGAAAAACCTAACAAAAACCTCTGCAAAACTTTTTAATTTTCTTTTGATCAGCTACTTTAACGCGTTTTTATCGCGCTTCGAAGATTCTTTTGTCTATATTGGATGCGTGTCCAAGCTTACTTTTTCACCATGGCGAAGTAATTAATAGAAAGCTGCTAAAATGCGTTTAGGTATTTCATACTTCATTTTCATAGAGAAAGCACATAACCATTTTTCAAGCTCAAAGGTTTCTTGCTCAAAATGATGAGCAAAACAATGCAAACAATCGTGGCGGAAACAGAAACGATAAGACGAATGTAAAAATGCAAAGGCGTCAAAAGTTAGAATAGTTCATATCAAGTTTCTTCCTGTTTAAGTTCTCCTCTGCAATAGCTATTTCCAAACCTGAATGTTTCTAGGACGATAAAATAGAAAACTAAGCTGTTTTTTTTCTTCCGAATGTGAGCCGGTGGTCACAACTTGCTATTTTTAAAATACCGCCAGAAGAAATTTTTTGAACTTATGCAGCAATTTTACCCAGTTTCAACAGTTTCTTTTGCTTTTGCTATGTGATTTGAATCTCCTTCTCTTCTCCAGTTCTCTTTAGACAATTGTTTTTATTTGGGGAGCAGGAATCTGACAACATTTTGGACCCTTTCTTTAGGCTATCGAAGGCGCGGTTGTGAGGACATTGTTAAGGCACTTCGATTTAGGGCTATGCTCGAATGGTGTTTACGGCTATGTGTTTTCTATGTGACCACTGGAGATCAGCAGCAATTGCAACTTCTCTGCTTACCTGTCCCACATTGTTGGCCATAGCTTTCATGCTGCCCGAAACCCCCAAATGGTGAGGTGTTCATACCAAAATTATTAGATATAGATAATGCATAAATCACACGTATTGGAGATGTGGACCACGCCAAGCGGTCCATCCGCGCGGTTGATGAAATACCTACAGTCGGTTTTGACCCGGTTTAGGCGGAAGCTAGGCTGAGCGCAAAGGTCCTCCCCGTTTCGCAGCTATAGTAAAGCGCTTCTCACTAAGATCCCAGGCGTGCATCTCCTCATTCTCCTCTGTCTACTCAGACATTCGTGGTCAACTCGCGCGATAGATCCGCCCACAAAATGGGATATCGCAGATAAAATAAGTACTGCTACGGTAAACCCGCTTTTGTCGCGACTTTCAAGCCAATCGCGATAATAAAAATAGTGAAATTTAGAACACCCGTTGCTACTTCCGATTGACTCGTGATTTCAAATGTACGCAGTAATATCAAGCGCTGCAAATCGCGCGATTCAAACTGCACTCAATTTATTTGGCGTCGTTTCCGCTCTTCAGGCTGATTTAATTGCTTTCTTCGCATTTCTTATTGTTGCTTCGGTATTGTGATGGTTTCTTTTCCAAATCGTATCTTGTTTTCAGATACAATTTTCTTACTGTTGACTTCTTAGCACGACGCACAAGGACTGAGCCAGGTCCCCACTTGGCCGGGCTTGGTCAATCAAGGATCACTACCCAAGGAAGTCCCACCCGCTTTTGAAACAGTGTGCGCAACCCTCGCTGCGGTGCGTGGGTTTTCTTACGCATCATTTTCTTTGCTTTCAAGCAAAGCGAGCAGCGGTTTGATTTGAGCCTATCGGCAATCCATTTTGAATTAGACCATAAACTAAGAAACTTTTTGGTTTCTTCTCTGAGAGTTCCCATCCTTCTCAATTTTTATTGGTTATTCTCCTTTCTAAACATCCAGTCCCCGTAATTTGTAGCTTATCTATTCTTCACAGCAAAACAACAAGCACTTTTTCAACGCTCACTTCTTCTTCATCATGGGATTTCTCATGTTTTTGAAGAAGGAATCGAGTTTTATTTGCACTGATCGAAAATTACGCGATCTTTTTGGTGATAAAAAGGTGATTCTGTATATAGCAAAAAAGTCGAAGAGAGCTTACGTTTTGAGTTTCGTGGATCTTCAAAAAAGGGTAATTTTCTGAATTATTTGCATCAAATGGATCCATAGCAGTTCTGTGTTGATGCAACTGACAAGGGAAGTGTGTTTAGTCGAAGTGGCATTTCTGGAGACCCATACTGCTTTGAAAAGTATTAAGCGGTGATTCCAAATCTGCCTTCCAAATTTGCCAAGCCTCTGGAGCCGAGTTATGGGCGTTTTTCAGGTCAAAAAACTGAACGCAAAACTGGGACAAAATCGCACAAATTTGCTCAAATGTTCAGTATCAAGCACCAGAGCCGTTTTTGCAATGGATACATTCTGTCCATTATGATAATACTCAACATTGCTACATCTGAGCGCTGAAGAAATTGTAATAAATTTAACTTAAATTCTCCATCTATTTTTCGTTCCAAAAAACGGTCATAACTCGGCATCCAGAGGCGCTTGGCAGATTTGGAAGGTAGATTTGTAATCATATGCAATACTCTTCAAAGCAGTGTGGGTCTCATCTGAAAAGGCCACTCCGACTAAACACGCTTCCTTTGTAAGTTTCAAGTTCTATGATTTTTGGGATACTGCCAAGAAAGTGTCAGAAAAAGGGTACACTGGATCAGCATACTCACAGTTTCTTGCTGCAAGCACTGCTTACACTAAAATTGTCTCTATTGATCTAAAAGGCTCCCACGGGTATGGCTAACGGGATGCTTATTGCTTATTAACGATATTCATTTAAGGCGACTCCCTCAAAAGTGGTGCTTATCTGTACAGTCTGAGCGTACTCTTCCAGTACATATATATTAGGCCGATCCGAAAGTTTGTGAATTTTTCAGAAAAAATCCATCTCAGAATAAAGTAGGCAAGCTTCAGGAAGAGTTCCATCCAACGTTTCTTCTTCTTTTGACAGTGATGTTGTTCCGGTTCCTTCAAAGGTAGCTCGAATAATTGTCAGAATCTCCAACCCGATTTTCGCCTACTCTTACTTGACTTTTTAAAATTTCCAGTTATAACTTCTGGAAGAGCTTTGATCACTGGTGGGAAGGGTCAACCAAATGCAAGACAATGCATTTTCTGGAGTTCATAATTAGATTCCTAAAATTTTTGAAATGATTTTTTGATGCTACCAAATCCCATATTTTGTCATCCCAAGCCTCACAGAACATTGAGCGAGACACTAAGGTGTCATTCGATGCAGATTATTCTCTTCTTTCCGGCAAGTGTTTTTACTCCCTGGTCGTGAAGGCTTCGAATATATCATTGTAATTCTAGATTCTAATGCACACAAGCTGTAGCCGAAATTAGAAATTCAATATTCCGAAGAGGCAAACACTCATTTGCTTTGTGTTTGATCATAAATACTTTTGCAAGTTACAAATTCCAAATGTTTACCTTTATTCGAACCGTTTCTGTATCCCACTATTTCGCAAAAAATGAAGACTTTTGAAAATTTCTGGAAGATACTTGCCAGCCAGTCGGAAAAGCCCAAAAAACTTCATTGTCCAGTTTGTCTACACTACCCAGCAGTGGTGAAAGCTCCTCCAAAATTTAAAAAAGGAAGTTTTTTAGTTTAGGTAAGAATCAATTGGAGGTTCTGCCAACTCAAGTAACCATTAAAGGCGTCGGAACAGAAACACCACTGCAAAAGAGGAAGAACGTTTGCATCAAACCCTGTTTAGAGCGTTTGTTTATCTTTATTTTGAAGGGGGTTTTACTCATGAGTCCTACAGGAGAGTTCTTTGAAAACGCCACGAACTTTCGGACTAAACTAACTATATGCAAATGTATTTTCAATTTAGGGGGAGACTTACGCGTCTATAAGAGTCCGAAGCAAACTCATCCGCCGTAATATTAGGTTGGCGCGAAAGTTGTTGCTTGATTCAATGAAATTGATGGGCCACTAAAAACCAAGCTTTTGAGTAAAAACTTTGATTCATAGTTCGGCTTCTCAAATATAGTAGAAGGTTTGCGCTTCAGAACAGATATTTAAGCTTAACATTCTATAAGTTAGCCACTCAGAACGAAGCTTCCAAAATTGGTGTCACAAACTTTGCGATTTTGAGTTTGGTACTAAAAAATCGTGGAGGACCGCTAGCTAGCCCAAAAAAATCTGCGAAAATACTTACACAAAAAAGTTTATACGTTGCTGTGGTAGGCTTCAATTTTGTACGGTAACACACTGCACTTTTTCAGCAAAAGCACTATAATGCTTTAAAAGACGGCACAGTGTTAGGCACTGTCTACTAGACAGCGTCTAGTCTCTAATCCCAGGCTCTGTCTGTAAAAAACGGAAGCGATGAGGTAGGGTATTCACTTTGCGAAATGATAATTTTCACAAATTTTTTGTTTATGCATCTCCTTACGAGAATGAGGCATCCCAGAGTAATATAAAGACTTTTGCATATGTAAGAAATTCTTACAGATATTTTGGGCTGGCGCTCAATCGCAAAATTTGAACCGCCGTTTTTGAAAGCTTCGTTCTCGGTGGCAAACTCATAGAATGTTATTCTTAAACATCTGCTTTGGCGGAAACTTTTTATTAATTTTAGGATACCGAACTATGAATTCAGGTTTAGTTTTCAAAATTTATTGACTTTGGTTTGGATTACGCATGAACTTTTGCTCCAATCTAGTATCATAACCTATCCTAAGCATACCAACTCCAAAATGACACCCTTATTTTAGAAAAAACGCACTTGCACGATCACAGCCGACCCCTATCCGGTATGCATCATGAAAAAGAAGACGACGAAGATGAAGATATGATTTCATCGCACATCTGGCTTACCTCTTTACGTTTTATAAGTGAATATATTTTTTTCATTACCATCACGCTGATTAGAAGAAGTGCCCCATTTCATAGCTACTCCTGTGCTCTTGCATTTGATTTTGTTTACATTCCTACTGTTTGAAGAACTGCAATCACTTGATTAACATTGTGTAATGTGCTGTAAAAAGCTTACAATAAACATTTATTTGAATACTGTTAAGCACACTTACTCGAAAACATGATTTTGAAATGCATTAAAAAAATTTCAAGGGAAGTGATAAGGAGTGCAGGCTGCGCCTTAGTTGGATCAACACACTGAGTCTCGCGCTGAAGCTCAGATTTTTCTCGGTCTGCATGAATGCGGGAGAATGAGGTGACTCGGGCGGTAACCTCCCTATCGAAATGCCGGTGTCCGGAACTTTTCGCGAGAGATTTGATTGAGTCTCGTAGTCATTCTGTCGCCACACAACTATTCCATGCGCGCGAGTTAACCACGAATGTCTGAGTGTGTTTGACAAAATGCAAACGCTATACGCTCGCATAACGTCCAGCGCCGCTTCAAATTGCAAGTTTCGCCTCCGGGTTGAAACAGACTGTGCGCTGATCACGAAGATTTGAGGTATATGAGCAAAGGCCGACATGCTGAGGCAAAGCAGTCTATTGTAACGCTGAAATATCTGAGTGGAAGAGAGGATGAGGGCAGTTATGGTAAATTTCAAGCAACGTCTTTGGAAAAAACTCATACAATGAAGGATCTGTTCGTAGAAAAGAAGATGGCTTTGCGCACAGTCATATTGTGCACTTTGTGGTTTGCAACAAGGTAGCTTTTTTTTCATCTTAAAATAGTTTTAAATGATAGATTTATAGTTTATCTGCGTTCGGAAGCGACTTAAACTCTGGAAATCTCCTTGGCGATTTCTACATGAATCAGTTCGCTTCGGGTGCAGTTACAGCATTCGCCAAGATAGTGAGTACTAGTTGATAACAATTATTTGGGTTCGTAATCCATTGCCATATAAAGACGATCACCGCGTAAGCGATCAGCATTTCATAGATATGGCGCCTTAGCATTAGATCACTGGCGCCTCGGAGTTGGCGAGGGAGGGGAGGAGGCGGGGGGACAAAAGGGTCGGCAACAATATAAGACGCCTTAGGGCCGCATGCACTAATATTCCCGCGGGGAGGGGATCGCAGCTTAAAAGAAAGCTTTATATTTCAAAACTCCAGATACCTGAATTTCACGTTGTGTACCTATCCGTAAGTATTCCTACTACCCTTCACTATGAACATGTTGAACAGGAGCGAGAAGCTGTACGAACCGCATTTTCCAGCTTTTGTATGATCCCTGATGATCCCCGGCGCTTTTCTTCAAAGTCATTTTTCTTTCTCCGAACTTAACGAAAAACCTCCAAAGTTGTGCAGATTATCTAACCCGACAGTGCTAAGCATGTTGCTGTTAAGAACAAATGATGTTTTGGAGTCATGAAATTTTCGATGATCCACAGGTCGAAATTTGAGGTTTACCGAAAAATTCGACTTTTTCAAAAACTCATTTGTTCTCATCAGCAACTTGCTCAGCACTGTTGTGTTAGATGTTCAGTACAACTTTGGAAGGTTTTCGTTAATTTCGGAGGAAGAAAAATGACTTTGAAGAAAAGCGCCGGGGATCATCAGGGGTCATACAAAAGCTGAAAAATGCGGTTCGTACAGCTTCTCGCTCCTGTTCAACATGTTCATAGTGAAGGGTAGTAGGAATACTTACGGATAGGTACACAACGTGAAATTCAGGTATCTGGAGTTTCGAAATATAAAGCTTTCTTTTAAGCTGCGTTCCCCTCCCCAGCGGGGAGGTTAGTGCATGCGGCCCTTAAACTCAAAGCAGAGGGGAAAACGAAGCAAAAAGTATATGAATTGATCTTTCAAATCGCACCATCTCTTGGGCTTTTATCCTTGCTTCCAAAGTGGATTCGGGCGGTTTCAAATTGTTGTTCCTGAAGCTAAGAGGCACTTCGATGTTTTGAATAAGGCGTCCGATCGCAGAATATCAGGGTTGGAAAGAATATGACAGATAGATGTGGTGAAAACCACTTGGGTAATTAAACCATTTGTTGAAGAATATTGAAAAACGACGCAGTCAGTTGCATAAGTCCATCACTTGTTGTACACTATTTTACCGGATTCTCTCTGGTTAGCTCGTCTTGTTATACCAGTGCCATGGCTTGCCTAAAGTAGTATGTGTTGGTGGGTGGAGGAACGAGCACCTCAATTAGGTATTGCCTCCGCGGGCTACTGGTCCTTTCGTCGTTATGCATCGTGTTGGGACCAATGGTCCGCGGAGGCCGTGCCTAATTGAGATGTTCGTTCCTCCACCCCGTGTTGGTGAAGCTGCCCGATAGGGTTTCAGTCGGTATACTTGTCTATGTGGAATTTGGCCCGTATGCGTTAACATCCCTGCGGCGAACAAGTAGCATCCCCAGTGATGAAAAAGCCACATCGACATTCGTCGGCGGCTCTCCATAAGGGAAAAGCTGCTCCCCAGCCCCTGCAGGGACATCACTGCATATGGGCCTTGGTGTTTAGACACATCAACGCATGCTCGGCCGACTAGTGTGCAAAGTGTGCAGAGTCACCATCAATGCTTGTTGTACAGCCAGTCTCAAGCTTGTTTTTCTTTCGTTTTCGGTGGACCTCGTATCCATTTTGTATTCTATGTTACTAAGGTGGTGAATTGGTGAGTTCGTGAAGTCCTAACCGTCGATTTCTGTTTATGTGCATAAAGATGAAAGATAAAAGATAGAAGTTAGTTCAAAATAACATAGAGTATCATAGAATTCACCTGACCGACAACTGATTATGACAATCTTCATTTTCTGAGTAATAAGGGAATCAAAATAACCGTGCGTATCATTGCGAAATGAACACTGAGATTCGTCTCTTTTTGAAGTGAATCCAATTGACCATATGTATTTATGACGCTACGGATAAGCATCGTTTTAACAGGACAAGCAGGATGATATAGATAACAACAACAGAATAATTACTGGATGAAAAAATGAGCCACCAACGAACGTCGGGAAAGAGTTAGAGTTATGTCTCTAAATAACCGTGTATGACGCGTAAAGTTGATTGAACCGGTGATGAGACCAAATCGACCTCAGTCAGCGTCCCCCACATATAGGTACATTTCAGTGCATCCCTGCTCTTGCTTTGACATCAGAATAAAAAACGACTGCTCTCCTCAGTTCAGTCTTTGAAGTTGGTTTTTTCCAGTTCATATTCCCCCTCGACACTTACTGGAAGTCATTCGACCGCAGGAAACTTCATCAAATACCTCAAGTGAGAAAAGTTATTCGAAATGGTCTTTGTTGCCGCTATATGCCAATTTAGGTGCTCATTATAATTTGTTATTCCGCTATTATGTTTCTACAGATTTTCGTGCCAGAAACAAGCTGTGATGGCTATAGCACGAAAGATTGGGCAAGTATGTCTAAGGATTTTCTTGCATGCATAGATTCAGGAATGTTTTTTAGTAATTATAATTAACGTTATCGGAGTGTCGTTAATCGAACTGACATGGGACGCTTGTTATCTCATAGCTGTGGAGAGTTTCCCAACACATATACGGACAATCGGCATGGGCACATGCTCATTAGCAGCAAGAGTTGGAGCTCTGGTTGCTCCTCAGGTGAGGAACAAAAAATATTGAATTTCACATCCAAGGAGAAACTGCCAAATGATGTTTCTACTTTATTTTCTTTTCAGATGGCGTTCTTGTCCATATTCTACCAACCTGCTCCATATATTATAGTTGTCGCCGTAGGCTTGATCTCACTGCTTATCTCGCTTCTTTTCCTTCCTGATACCAAAGGAGTAGATCTTGCCACCGTCGGTCAATCAAAACCCAAAATCGACCAGATAAAAATGGATCTGCGATAACTTCGTGCATAGATTTCATTTTCTAATAGAAATGTACATTTTTATGTAGTCTCACAACATAATACATAATACATGCTTAATATTTCAAGAGTCAATCGCACAGGCAACAATATCAGACAAAATTATGAGAATGAATTAGAGAAAGGTATGGCGAAAATTACAATTTGGTTACAGCGTGAAGTAGCAAAAGAGATGTTGCTGCTTGGCACATTCAATATTTTTTCTTAAAATTTATCGTGCATCCCCCAAAATTTTCCCTAGGGATACACTTTGGACCGAATCGAATAAATATTCGAGTGTTCAAATAAAATTTTCTGTTAAAATTCATTCGAAATTCGATTATTCGAAAAAAATTTGTAATTTTAGATATATTAGATTTCGCTTATCCAACATTTATAATTTTCGAGTTTATTCAATTATTCGCTCATTCGAGCTTTTTTTATTCTCGAATACATTCGAATATTTACTCTCAATTGTTATTTTTCGTGCGGCAACTTCGCGTAATCGAATAACTACGTAACTCTAATCGTTTGTGCTCCTCGCCCTTCCCTCCTCCAGTTATTTCCTTGCATTTACACGTCATTCCATTGCAAGCCGGTCTTGCCAATACCAGATTTTTTCACAAAAGCGATTTTAGGTTAAATGTGATTGTGAAATCAAATCAATGATATTATTGGACCACAGCTTTATGAAGGAACAGCTTGATTAGGGGGATCAAAAGAATGCGAGCCTTTCGTTACTTCAACGCTTCACAAATGTGTCTTTCATACCTTAGGAAGCTCCTTTGTAAGATGTTGAAAGGGGGCCTGAGCACAACAAATGCTCAGAAAAAAGGTAACACTGTTTAGACTCGAATTTGGGAAGCTAAAGTTAGTGTACAAGTTTAAATGAGCATGCTGCTCGGGAACTGAGTGTTGTAGAGGGACAGACCAATATTACGGACAATTGCCCTTACTGATTTCAATGATTTTTGCAAATTTTGATCGAACGTAGGGGTCATTGTGGGCAATGAGCATTTTCCTTCACTGATTTTGAGCTCTTAACAGTGACACAGGGAACTGGGGAGAGTGGGTTAGTTTGGTGACTTCCATAGTGCTATGTGGACGTAGACCGAGCATTAACCGAATCTACCCTCAGTTTAGTAATATGCTTTGTGCTTGCTTTCAAAGTGCTTTTAAAGTTTTGAATATTCGACGTAAGCAATACAAAGTATTCTTTTATTCGAAATCTTTTCTCGATTATATACGTCATTCGAAGTACCCTAATTTCAGGCGTACAAGGCGCGGGGTGGTTCTAGCTTATCGAGCTGCTCAGCCGCCCCAACGTATTTTAAGAAGCGATCCTTATGCCGCACGATTCGTCAGGCAAAACGCAGCACGGTATGGGTTCCTTTGGTTGCGAAGTCCTTTGCCGTGTTCGGGCTGGTCGATGAAAGCTAGGACCCCGCGCCTTGTACGCGTGAAATTAGGGTAATTCTATTTCGAAAATATTCAATATTCGATTATTCGACATATTTACTTTTGGCAAATATTCATGTTCAAATACTCGATTTTTTATTTTTAAAAGTATTCGAAATTCGATTATTTGATTGATTGAGTGTGTTCGATTATTGATTGTATGAAAAAAAAATTTCGAATATTCCAAAGCATAATACATAGGTAGAATCATCATGGCTGTCTTTCGATCGTTTCAACATGTCATGTTCGACTAAGCGCCTTAAATTTGTTCAGTTAATGCGTTGAAACGATTGGAACGCAGCCACGTTGATGGTATCGTCCTTTCCCCCACAGTATAGCGGGCGGAGCTTTGCCGACGTTTGCCAACATTATGCGCGTGGCAGTTTTTGGCAGCTAGAGAGTACAAAAATTAATCCTTTAGAGTGGAGGTTTAACAAGTTTTTCAACGTGTTCGAATGTCCGCAGGGCCACGCCCGCTATACGCATGGGAAACGCCTATACCTATGGGGGATGCACCATATGTGTTACACAGACACGATATCCTCAATGTTTGGACATTTTTGTACCTGAGATGTTTTGTTTAAAATGCTCCTTTTTCTCTTTTCTATAATGAAACTTATCTGGACAAAAAAATAAATCTTGTTGCAGAGGGTGGACAGTTTTCTGCATTTCAGTTTTCACAGGATCTTTTCATATTATGACACCGACAGCATGATTGGTTATTTTAAGAGTACTCTCTATCTCAGAAACTGAAATGATCCTTCAAAAGCATCAAAAAAATTTCTTTTTTAATAACACTGCATTGTGAGTTCTTACCTTTGCGAAAGTCTTTTTTTTTATTTTAGAGAATGATCCTGTTGTATATGAATGCATAACAGCACAAACATCGAACTGACGCTACTTGTATGATCGGTGGACAGTTGCATGTGTTGTGTGTGTGTGTGTACTGTGATCGATCGGCTGCCACGCGGGACTTACGCAGAGCCAGTACACCTCAAACTTGGGTAATTAAACCTTTATTATCAAGCAACTAATACTACAATGCGACTAGGAAAACAACAAACAAGCTATATAAGTTATATATATATATATTTATATGTCAATTGGATGTACTGTGAGTTGCTGTGAGGGTCCTGTGCGGGGGTCTGTGACTTCGCTGTGAGGGTCCTGTGAGGGGATCTTGACAAAAATGCTAAACATAAATGAAGCATCAAAAATACTATAACTATAGAAAGAAAGTAAAGAAATAAAATGGTCGAACGCGACTAGCCACTACTTATGTATACTGTGAACATAAACAAACTAAGAACAAGCATGGTAAATCTTATATATAAAGCTGAATGTCTGTTTGTCTGTCTGTATGTCTGTCTGTATGTCTGTCTGTCTGTCTGTGTGTACGTATGTTCCGAATAGAAAATTCATTTTTCAAAACTTTCATATCAACCCTCAAAAGGAGTTCAAATAACGATTAGATAGAGCAAACCGTACAGGATACAAAACAATTCTTTCTCCTTCACATACTTCCTCAAGAAATTTTCTAATAACATTTCAACTGATGCTACCAATTTGCATACTTGGTCAATCAAACCTCGTAGAACATCAATGAGAGAGCAGCCTTGGGTGCTGTTTGATGCAGCTTTTTCTCCTCTTTCTAATAGATGTTTTTTGTTGTTCTGTTGTTCTGTAGTTCGATCTGTTCAGTCTTCGGGGCTAAAATCGTCATAACTCATGTTTTTGAACGCGCCCAAGGCTGTACCCGAAAAACTCGAAGTTCAGTATTTCGAATCCGCAAACTCTCATTTGCTTTACAAAATCAATATTAAGTCATATATCATCTTGATCTTCAAATTCCGAGTAATTACTGATGTTTGATGCTATTGTGGCTAACGTAGGCCTGCCAAAATCGATGATTTTGGTAAGAAATCTTTTAGTACGGTGAGCTATGAAAAAGAGAAAAAAGTTGTCCTGTATTCTATAAGGTTCGCTCTATCCAAACTTTGCTTGAACTCCCTCTGAGGGCTAATATGAAAGTTTTGAAAAATCGTGAAACTTGACCATCTCAAAAAGTGTGGGTTTCAGATTTTGGTTATTTTCCGAAAGCACGTTGCGTGCGCGGCAAGGTTTTCATTGCTATATGAAGAGGGTGAAATTCTGCATCGACTGCTTCCAGGATCTCTTAGAGATCTTTGTTCCATCACATGTGGCGCCTTTTTGAAAAAAGCGAAATTACTTTCGGAATGACCTAATATTTGTTGACCATACAATCAAGCTTGTTTCAAAAATGTCTGCAAAGCGTTTTAGTGTCTCTTAGTCACAGAATGGATATGTATCTTATTTGCCCAAAAGCTGCTTTTACCTCGCCGCGCCTAATCTAGAGCGTTCCACCACTGCCCGAGGAGGTGCAGGTCGTTGGCTCCACGCTGGAGTCACCGTACTCCAACTCCAATTCCCAAGCTCTCAGTTTTTCTCATATTCAGTCAAATTTTAGTCTCTCGCTCATTCCATCCTTCTTTTTCTTGTCACCTGCCATACTTTTCGCTAAAGTGATTATTCGTTGCTAGGTGTCAATTAGAGTTTCGAGCCTTGAGACCTGATTTCACTTTTTCGACTGGTTTGCACACCAATCGATATCTTTGCTTCTATCGTACATCTCGCCTTGCTGTGCTATTTCCACCGACATGCCTCCTAAAACTGCAATGCCTTCCAAGTCTATAAGATCACGCAATACTCCAAAACCGGCTGATCCTATTCCTCAGCCGCAACACGTTATGGATTCTAGTGCATCGCAGTTTCGCAATTCCAACGCGTCGCAACTTCTCGCCTCGCTTTCGCCTCAGAGCACCTCAAATGATTCTCGTACTGAATCAATTGTTCAGCTGTTCAAAAACTCTTACAAGGGAAGTCACTTAACTTAGGTCGGGCTTTTGAAATGAGACACATATGGTTGGAATCAGCTTGAAACGCTGATTTCAAATCTGCTTTCCTTAGCTGCGAAGCGTTCTTCTGAAGCGAGTTATGAGCTTTTTCCTGAGCAAATTTTGCGTGTTGACCGACTTAGGCATGCTACGGTATCATCATCTAGGTAGTGGATCAAATGCATATTATACCCTATCAAAGCCAAATGACTCAATTTGATGTTATTAGGTTGTCAAGAAAATAATGTTCATTTTTATTTGCTTGCTTTAACAAAGCAACCAGATTCGACCCATCAAAGGGTAAGGGGTACTGTTCGATAGAGCAAAGCAAGCTCTACAAGATGGCTTTCATGATTTTGCGCCAAGCTCGACCCATGGAAAGTTCGAACTCAAAATCTGAAAATATCCAAATGTCCAAAAAATTGAAGAAAATTAGATCTTTGTCCGTATGATTTCTACAGGCCTCCCACTCGCTCACATCAATACTATCGATATTTGATATCCATATGTGCGATTGCCGTATTTTTTCCTTGACTATAAACTGAGAAAACGAAAGTTTCCCTGATTTTCTCAAAGCAATGCTGAGCCGTTTTTGCATATGTAGTTCTATACTACAATCCTAGGTAAGTATAACTGTAGATTTTCAGCCCATTCCAAGCGGTAGTTTTCGAAAAATAAAGAATTCGGATTTTTTCTTTTCAGTTTCAGTGCTAAAATCAACATTTCTCGAAAACTACCGC